GCAAGGCAGGCTGCACCTTCACCTCAGTCCTCTGTCCAGACACGTGCCCACCAGCCTTGCCTGCCACTGCCATGGGGATGAGCCAGAGACAAAAGGTGTCCCCACTTGCTGCAGGACACCACCAGGTCTGCACCCATGTCTGGGTGATCACATGCACTAGGATGGACAGGCTCAGCCCTGGCTTCACTCACAAGGAGCTAAATTTGGCACAAACAGCCCCTTGTTCTGCCTTTGCCACCAGTGAACTCAGCACTGGCAACCAAACGCCACTGCCTGCTGCCCTGCCTGGCTGAGCCAGCCCAGGACACTTCCCAAACACCATCCCTGGAGTTCAGTCTGGGCCCCGATGGTGGGCATCAGATGGCTCACGGGAATGTCTGCCTGTCTCAGAGAAACTTGTCTTAGGACTCACAACCAGAACAGTGCCAGAGCTGTGCTCACCCTGCGCCACACCAACCTCCCTCCTTGCCCCTGACGTGCTCAGGGAAGCCTGTGCCGGAGGGCGTTTGCAGCCCCATGGAAGGTTTAAGACCGCATGTGAGCACCGCCGTGGGACTCTGCCACAGAAAGGGATCCTGCCCGGAGTGGGCTCAGAGGCCAAACTCAGTCATGGTGTGCGGGGACGCCCTTCCTCTTTCCGGCCCGCACCCCCCGCACCACAGACGAGGGCCGCTTCCTCTCCGCACACACCTCGGCCGGCCGCAGCGGCGCAGCGGTGACCCCGGGGGACCCTCCCCTGAACGCACAAAGCGCTGGAACAAGCCCCTTTTGTCTACCGAGCACACGCGGTGGCTGCGTGTTCGTGGGAGCGCGGGGGCCGATACCCCGCGGCCCGCAAGCCAATCTCCTTCTCAAAAGTGGTGAGTGAGGAACATCCCTCCTCCGGCAACCGGCGGACCCACGGGGACCCATCACCCCGAAGGCCAGCAGCGAGTGGGGACGCGGGCAGTTACTCCTTCGGCGCCCGGCTCCCCACCCGCCGGCGGTGCCACCTCAGGGCGCAGGGCTGGGACCGGAGCCACTTTTCCAGCTCCCCCAGCCAGACCGCGCTGGCCGCGTCCCGCCGAGGGCGTGGAACGGCCCGGGGGCGCAGTCGGCCCGGCTCGAGGCACGGAGCAGCCCCGGGGCCGCCAGCCCGGCCCGCCGCACCCCGGCTCAGCAGGACGGCGACACCGGGCGGGCAGGCGGCCAAATCGTCCGGCGACAGGACCCCGTCCGGGCACGCCGGAGGGGTGGCTATTGGAGTTCCCCTGGCCGCTGCCTTGCGGGTCTCCCCGCGGAGCGATGCGCTGGCGGGGGCCGCAGCAATCGGTGACCCTCTGCGTGGCGAGACGTCGGGGCCGCAGGGGTCACCCTCACCATTTGCTCCCGACTGCGGCCGGGCTCCGCTCGGCATCGCACCCCGGCGCCAACCCCGTCCCGGGCACGGTCCTGCCTCTGCGTTCCAGGGGTGCCGGGGCATGACGGGACGGACTATGGTTCCCCCACCGTGGCACTAAACGTCCCGCAGAGCCTGGTGCCCGGAACGCCCGTAGGCGCGGCACCGACGGATAGGCACACAGGGGGCCGACCTCCGCCGGCTACAGCCCGCGGGACGGGACCGGGAAAGACGTGAGGGAGAATGTGGGGGCCGCCCCCGACGCCAGCCCAACGGATGTGCCAGAGGAATTTCTTCCTGCCGCCGGGCCCGGGCTGTCCCTCCGCCCCTCTCGCTCTCACTCTTCACTGCGACTCTAAGTGGAGGGCCGCGGAGATCGTAGGTGCGAGTGGCCGTCCCCGTCCCGCCGCGCCAGGATACAAGTCCCCGCGGCCGGGGCTCCCCGCACCCCCGACGCCGCCGCGCCCCGGCTGTCCTCCCATCTCCCGCGCCCCGCCACGGGCGGGAGGCCCCTCGCGGGGGGATGTCGCGGAGCCCACGCGGGGCTCTGCCCGCGATTCCTACCTTGGAGACGATGAGGGGCTCGCCGTGCTCTAGCCCGCCGCGCAGCGTGAAGCCCCAGGGCGCGCCCCCCTGCAGCTGCACATGCACATACTGGGGGGCGCCGGGCCGGCCCTCAGCCCGCTCCATGGCGGCTACAGCTACAGCCCCATCCCGGCCCGGCCCCGAACTGTGGAGGAAATTACACCCCCGCCCGCCCGGGCTGAGCGGCGCGGGGCGAGTGCGGGGCGGGGCCGCTCCGCACCGGGACTGCTCCGCCGCCGCCAATGAGGCGCGGGGGGACGGCGGCGGACCGTCCGGCACGGCACAACACGGCACGGCTCAGCACAGCTCATGGCATGGCTCTGCACACAATGGCACAGCACAGCACCTCTCTACTCAGTACCTTGGCATGCCGTCCTTTAGCTCAGGGACCTGAAGTGAGCCGCTTGGCTCATCTTGGTACAGCCCAGCCGGCGTATTTCAATTAGTCCAGCTCAACCCAGCATGGCATGATATGGAAGGCTGGCAAACCTCAGTGCAGCACGATACATCACAGCTCAGCTCAACGTGGGATGGCAGGGGGGCCAGCATGGGTTAACTGACCCAGCCAGCCTGGCATACCTCGGTGTAGTTCAGCTGGATTGGCACATTCTGGCTTGTCTCAGCTCAGTTCAACATGACACAGGGCTGCCAAAGTTAAGTTTGGTACAGCACAGAACAAGCAGGGGTCTCATCTGGCTTAGCTCCACTTGACCTGGCCCAATTTTGTTCAGGGCAGTTCAGCTTGATTGACTTGGACAAGCAGGGCTGGCAGAGTTCAGTCAGCAGAGCCTGGCCTGGCTTGACTTAGCTTTACCATGCACAGGTTCAGCTCAAAATGACCCAGTTCAGCACAATATGGTGCCACTGGGAACGCACACCAGTAGGGACTGCTTAGCACAGTTTAGCCTGGCACGGTGGCAGTTCAACAGCACTCAGGTGGGTACGAGGGGGTGGCAGTAGGGTGATGCAGCCCCCCTGGCTCCCCACCATGTAGTCACACTGGTGCCCCAAGCTCCATTGCCTGCAGGCCAGCACATGCTGCTGGCTTCTGTCTGACCTACCCATGCCAGCCCCCACCCTGTCCATATCCTGCCGGGCACCTTAGGGCATACCTGGCAGTTTGGCCGTTCTTCACCCTTGTCTTTTCCCTGCTACACCCAGGAGAGGCAGCTGTACCACCTGGGGGAAATTGAGGCAGGGGGAAGAGCCGGCAACAGCAGCCAGGGATGGTGGGAGTGGATCGGCATGGATTCCCAAGAGTCCTGCTCCTCCCTTCCCGCCTCGGGCCATGACTCTTACTCATCTCCTTCCCAGACAACCGGCCTGGAAAGCTCTGCTCTGCAAGCAGCGCCTGCAGCCCTGGTTGCCCGCCACGGCCTGGGAGGGTCAGCTTGCAGTGCCAGGCTGGTTCATTCAGTGCTGGAACGGTCTCAGGTTTTTCTTGCTAGTCCCTGTCCACAAGCACCTGTCTTGAACTCTGCCTGCCCCCTGTGCAGCCCAGCTGCAGCCAGACCAGTACAGCCAGAGTGTCACAGGGCACAGGGGGAGTGGTACCGGGGCTATTTGTAGTGCTAGAGCCCACCCAGGAGAGATTCATAGCTCCCCCCATACAGCCTTGACATGTCCACCACCTCAACCCCACCTGCCTTGTAATGCCCCCAAATCATGACTGGCTGCTGCCATGCCCAGACTTCCCAATGTTCACTGGCTCGTCTGCCCCTTGTGCGCTTTCCCAAATGAGTAACAAGGGCTGCCTGGCCAGACAAGAGGGCTCTTGTGCCCTGGCTCTTCACATGGCCCCATAGCACATTTAGCACCACACACACCCCTACACAGCCCTCCCAAGCCCTCAGCACTGTGCCCAGCTGGCACCAGAAAGAGTGGGCAGCAGACACCAGTACAATCCCTCCAGCTCTCCCCATGTCTCTGTGCCTGCACCAGTGATTCCCAAGCAGTGTGCTCGCCCCCTGGCCACTTCCATCCCAGCAGGAGAGCAACAGTGTACTGTGGGTCAGGGCGCAGCACCAGGGGCTCTGGAGGTGGGACTGGCTGCAGCTGCCCCCACCACACTGTGGTGTGCCCAGAGGGTCTTTCCCAGGCAAGCACTGTCCCCAGTACAGAAAGTGATTTGAATGGCCCATGCCAGCAAGAGGGTGAGCATCACGCTCACCTCTCAGCTTTGAGCAGGTGCTGGCAGAAAGACCTGGAAACTGGTCAAGGTAGGCAAAGCTGCGGGCATGCTGATGGTGGTGGCAGGATGATGCCTACAGTGGGGTACTGCTGGCTTACCCAGACATACTTAGCACTGCTGGGCTCAGGGTCACTCTGCTCACCCATGCGTCTTAGTGCCAGCTGGATAGAGTGAGGCACTGGGCAGCCTGGCTGTGCTGCGGGGCTGTTGGGGAGCAGAACTCCAGGCTCTGTGCCTGCTTGGGGCAGTGCAGACCAGCATGCAGCAATGGGCACAAAGGTGATGAGCCGCTGATGGAGTGTCAGCACAGAGTGGAGGTAGCTGGAGGGACTCTCATTGCATGAAAGCACCCTCTCAGGCTCTGTCTGGCCCCACTTCCCTGGGACTCAGGGAGGTCCTGCCTCTTTAAAACCTGATTGAGTCCATGCCTTTAAAATGGGCCTGGGCAAGGACCTCCTACCCTGTAGGAGGAGGCTGAGCCGAGAGCAGGTGGGCTGAGTGAGCTGGCTCTCCCACCCCACTTCACCCCACGCCCCTACCCCAGCACCTTTACAGCTCCCATAGCCAGGCTCTGTTTGCTCCTGGTCTGGATTTTAGTCTGGAATTTGTACCCCTTCTTGCATACAGATTCCCCCCACCTTTCTGTTCCTGTGCCAAGCTGAAGCAGCCGGTGTGGTTGTCCTGTCTTGATAGGAGCTGGAAGCACCCTGGGATCCTTTTGCTGGTGCCCACAGTCAGCTCTGCCTCCCAAGTGAGGAGAAGCATGATTGCAGGTTCTCCCTAATTCTTCTGCTGGCCAGCCCCACCTTGTCCCTCTTACCTGCTCCCTGCCGACACTCATCTATCATGGCCATGCCCTACCCTTTCACCACCCTCCTCCTTCTCCTTGTTCTGCCCCTTTCCCAGGCTGCGAACCAGTCCCCACTGCCCCTTGGCTCCCTGCCTGCTGTCCCCACCCTGCCCCTCCTGCAGGCCCTGCAAACGCGGGCTCCAGGCTGGCAGGCGGGGCCAGCCAGTGGGCGGCCCCTGCGCTACATGCTGAATCTGTACCGGCGTGCTGCTGGCCGCGAAGGCCGACCCCGCCGCCGCCGCAGCCTAGGCACCAACACCATCCGCCTGGTGCAGGCCAGCTCCCACGGGGGTCAGCCCTGGGCAGGTAAGGAACCGGTGAGCACTAAGGATGGTATGTGTGCTTAGCAGAGCTAGCAGGGTGGGCTTGAGCTCTGAAGGCGAGGTCTCTTGCCTGCTTCCTTCCCCCTCTCTACAGTGTCCTGGCTGGGGTTGCACTTGGCCGTGGGGTTCCACTTGGCAGGAGTCCAAGGCTCTGCCGCAGGGGTGAGATGGGCAAGCGCATAGCTGGCCCTTGTGTGCCCTTCTCTCCTTCCTACTCTGCCTGATGCTCTGCCAGGCTAATGGTGTTGGTGGAGAGGATAGGAAATGTTGCAGACTGTTTGCCCTTCATGCCACCAGCAAGCCTTGTCTCATGGCTTCTGTTTGCTGCAGCTTCTGCCTTGTGCTGAGGCAGATGGGTGTCACAGGCTCTGCTGTGCTGTGTGGGACTGTGGCAGCACCATGACAGAAAGGGGTGCTCCACAGTGCCTCCTGCACTATGCTAACAGGGTACTGGTCACTGCTTCCCTGCAGGTCGCTGGTACTTGCAGGCCCTCACCTACCACATGGAGGGCCGGCCAGAGGTCGAGCACCTCCTCAGAGCTACTGTGGTCTACCTGCCCAGTCTGTCACTGGCCCACGGTCGCCTTCTCTGTGCTCTGGAGCTGGTGATGGCTGGCGAGCCGCCCAGGGTGCTGCTCAGCCCTACTGCCCATTCCCGTGATGGCTGGGCCGAAGTTGATGTCACCCCTTACCTGGTGCTGGGGAACAACAGCATGGGGAGCCTGGCACTGCGGCATGTTTGTGTGCGTGCTGGCCGAGCAGGAGGCCACGATGCCCCTGTGGCCCCCGGCCACCCTTTCCTCCTTCTCTACCTTAACGATACTCAGGCAGGGTTGGCACCTCTGGCAGCAGAGCCCCACCGACACCGACGTGATACAGGGACATTGGCTCATGACCTGCCCAAGAACCTGCGGGAGCAGGGAGGGGAGAAGAGTGACTGTTCCCTCCGCCCCTTCCCTGTCAGTTTTGCACAGCTGGGCTGGGACCACTGGATCATAGCTCCTCACCGCTACAACCCACGCTACTGCAAGGGCACCTGTCCCCACCTGCTCCGCTATGACTTCCACGCACCCAACCATGCTGTGGTGCAGAGTTTTGTTCATCAGCTTGTGGATGCCAATGTGCCCCGGCCCTCCTGTGTGCCCTATCGCTACAGCCCCATCAGTGTCCTCACGATTGAGCGCAATGGAGGCATCCTGTACAAGGAGTATGAGAACATGATTGCAGAGTCCTGCACTTGCCGGTAATTTCCACTGCCCCAGCACATCACCCCTGGGCTCTGCATCTTCCTGCAGGTCTGGACTTTAGGGTTTATCTTGCTCTGCCTGGGGCTCACTTGGCTCATCTCCCCTCCCCATGCAGTGCTGCTCAGTGGGGAGGTTTTACAATGACAGTTTTATGTAAATTGTGGGTTTTTAAAGGCAGGAACCTGTGGTGGGGTGGTTGCCCCATGGCATCTGTCCTTCCTGCAGCCCCCATGTTTTGCTGCTGCCTGGTTTTGGTGGGCAGGGGGGCTTGGCCTGATGCTCTCAGATATGAGCTGTGTCCCTAAACAGGAGTACCAAGCTCTTGGGAGGTGGCTGGGAGTCTCCTGGTGGAGGGAGGGTAGAAGTCCAGGTGTCTGTGTTTTGCATCTGACACATTGATGGTGTCAGGATCTGATGTGACCCTGCCTGTGGCATTCCTTCCCAACTCACGTGCACCCCATCCCTATCTAGTCTCAGCTGCAGAGGCATCTCACCAGGCTGAGAATTTGGGCTGGAGCGAGGAAGCCTCTCTCCTCCCCTGCAGTTCTGCTCTGGAAGGGCTGTGAAAAACTGGAGGGACCTGAGCTGCCATCTCTGCTTCCGGTCCTAGAGGCCAAGGCAGCTGCCTGTGCTGGGCTCTGCCTGCTGTTTCCTCTGACACACCTGTTCTTCAGCTCCTTGGCTTGCCCTCTAGCAGGGCTCAGGTCTTGTTCCCAGAGGTCAGATTCCTGTTGCAGATGTCTCTCTACCTTCTTGCACTCTTGCTGTCACACAGGCCTTGGGCTCTGCTGGGCTCCTGGCATGTCCCTGTTTTCAGAAGGGTCAGTCTCACTCTCAGCACCACTGCTGCCTCACTCTATTTCTTGACTGTGAATAAATAAATTGATTGATTTTGCTAAAGACCATCTTGGCCTGTTCTTGCACTGCCCCCAGGGTGCAGCAGGTGCACCCTGGGATAGGTTGCCCTCGGCTGTATCCCTGTGCCCTGCCTTTGTGCTTTCACTGGAGGGGGTGGGTGCGGGGGGGAAATCCCAGCTGGTTCAAGCAGGGCCTATGAGAAGTGCCTCCCCTGGAGCATTGACCTGCCCTAGTGCAGAGGAGACCAGATGTGGCTGCAGGCAGCTGCCTCCATGGGTCTGGGAATGAGAGATGCCCCACATCCCTCTGTATGGGGCAAGTCCTAGGAGACCATGGAAGAGCAATGAGCCAGGTCTCCTGGGGCTGTCACCATGGCCAAGGCATTTCTCTGCTGTTGCTATTGTGGGTAGGTATCTGCAAACAAACCTGACTCTTGCTGGATATGGTGCCCTGTCTGCAGTGCTGGAGCAAAATTTCCATTCTTTGAGCAGCAAGGCATAGGTGGCAGCCATCATCCTTGGCACCAGTGCTGTCACCAGGGTGCTGTTTCTCCACAGCTCATGCTTTTGCCAGGGTCTCCTCTTGCTTGGGGTCCAGCCCCATCTGTTATTGCTGGCCCAAGCTCCATGGGGATGTTTCAGCAGTTTTATTTTTCCCGTGTTTGCTGTTGGATGGGCTGCTGTCAACTCCAATCCCTCCCTTTCCTGCCAGTCTCAAAGTTTCTTTCCCATCCTGGAAGACTGAGAAACCACAGAGCCCCAGGTTCTCTCTTGCCCTTTGTCCCCAGCTAGCCACATCTTGGTGATGAGTGGGGAACATCTGCTTTTTTGGAAGCTCACAGATCTGAGCCCTATCAATCATTAACCATGTTCTGTTGATTCATGCAGACAAGTGATGATAAAAGACATGGAGAGGGGCATGCTCCCAGCCCTGGATACCCCTAGATGCCAGTGCCCCCCCCACCCCCAACCTGCTGCCAGCACCCCTTGGACCAGCTGGGCACCTGGAGATGGGTGAGCACTGGAGTTTGTCACCCCAGCCCCGTGTCCAGTTATGCACTGTGCCAACAGGCTCTTGAGTCTTTTGGGATGGGCCCCTTCCTTGAGTACCCATGGGTGCCTAGGGGCTGCTCCAGCAGCAGGATCACCTCTGTGCTGGTTGTGGGAAAGGTGCTGCCACAGAGATGGAGGAGCAGTGATTCAGGGAAAGATTCACTGTCCCCAGATGACCCCAGCTCTGTGCCTGCATCATTGCTGGGACTGCCAGGCACAGGGTGCAGTGACCCTAGCCTGTTGCCTGGGTGCACCTTGCAGGGATGATCTCTTGCAGATCCTGCAGCTATGTGAGCCCCTTGGGCACAGCCTGGCATTCCATTGGGGACCACAACCCACCCTCAGGTAGGGATTTTGCCTGTGCAGCTGCTGCTAGCCCCTTTCTCTCCCCCAGGCCAGCTCGTGCATCCCTGTTCCCTTCTGCCTTGTTCGAGCTCCTTCCCCTGCCCCAAACCCCACACCGAGGCTTGGCTTTGTTTCCACAGGGTGCCCATTCCCTATCCCTCCTGCTGCCCCTCCTAAGTGGGCATGAACACCTCACACCCCACATCCTGCAGGCTGGCACTGGGCAGAGGGGGGATGTGTCCCATGTGTCCTTGCAGTGCTGGGGTAAATCTAGGCTGGGCACAGTACAGGGGCACCAGGATGGAGATCACCCAGCTGTGGAGAGCAGGTGCTCCCCAGGCACCTTGCCAGGACTGTAGCTGGATGCAAACGGTGATGGCCAGGATCCAGATGCCTTGTGGGTGCCCTGCAGAGATACTGGCAGCCCCCAGCTGGGGCCGTTTCTCTGCCCAGGGCCACTGAAATATTTGTGCAGAGCCATTACCTGAGAGGAGCAGTGCCTGAGAGGAGGCACCTGACAGATGGGGTTTGCAAGACTATGGAAGCCTCAGCACTCAGAATGGCTGACAGGGCCAGTGCAGTCCCCACTACCATCCCCAGGAATCACCATCAGCCTAGCACTACTCCTCTCCCTCCTCTTGCTTCTCTACAGCTCCCTCCAGAGAGGTCTTGGCATGAAGGGCAGGTGCCAGGTGACTCAGGACATTCCTCCCTTCCCCATCTGCCCTTCTGGGTGTTCCAGGAGCCCCAGGGGGTGGAAGGCATGTGGCCCCCCAGATGGCCTGTGCAACACCATTCTAGAGGATGGAGAGCAGCAGACCCCTGGGTGCCCACTGCTGGCACAGCACTCAGTGTGTCATCAGGGCCTGTGGTAATTGGGGACCCCTGCTCATCCCCTGCATCACCCCCTGCCTAGCCTTGTCTGCATGCCTGGGACTCTTGACGTCTCTCATCCCTACAAGCCCTGTGGCCTGCTCCTTGTACTCTGATGTCCCCAGCCATGGGGCCTCACAAGTAACCCAACCCCACCAACTTTGGGAGTTCTCGACTCTAGGACCCCCACCCCTACGTTATTCCTCACTGCCCACCAGAGACCTCCTGTGCCCACAATTGTGGTGTCCTCCAGTTCCAGTGACTCCAGCCTAGGCACCCCCCCAGCAGAGCCCAGATTTGGCCCCCCCATCCAGCTGCCTCCAGCTCAGGGATGCTCTCCCTCTGGACACCCTGGCATAATGCTCTTGGCTGCTCTGCCCCACAGGGCTGGGGGTGTGCCCCACCACAGTATGAGTGCCGACAGCCACTAGCATCCCCAGGAATGTCCACTGCGCACTAGAATCCCCAGAGACCAAGGGACAGCGTGCACTCGCTGCTGGGACAGGACTCTCCAGCAGCCATATGTCCTGTGGGCTGGGCCAGGGGGAGACTGTGCTGCTTAGCTCCCTGGGGCCATGCCGTGGCTGGGCTGCTCCAGATGCTCTGTACAGAAAATAAACCTAATGCACCCTGCCCACATTCAGCACCTTCTTGCCTCTGCCCAGCTGTGCAAAGGCAGATTACATGGATGACAGGGTCATGTGTGCCTCAGAGTCAGGGTGGCACATGGCACCTGCGGGGTCCTGTCTCTCGCCCAACAGCTGCAGAGTCCAATGCAGCACCCACTTGGCCCCCACCTACCCAAAAGGGTCCCCGGGATGAGGCGTGCTGTGGTCTTCAGGAGCCAGCTGTGTGCCCAAATGCTGCTGGTGCACCTGTGTGGGTCCACATCTGTATGATGCACATGTGTCTGCCCGCACCTGTGCATGCAGGTGTATGCAGTGTAAGCCTGTGTGTGCCCATGTGCATGATTGTGTATGTGCATGGGCAGTGTGGCTGTGTGCTTATGCATATGTGTGCTTATAGGTGAGGGTACCTGTGGCTATCCACAGGTTTGCACACCTGTGAACGTACATAGGTGCACAAGTGTGTGTGTATTTCTGTGTGCTATGGACACACAGAAAAGCAAAGCATAGCTGTGTATTTGTGTGTGTGGAAGTATGTGTGCACACGAGTCTGCCTGTTCGTGTGTTCCAGTGCAGGTAGGCGTGTGCACACCTGTAAGTGTGCATGTGTGTGCATGCCCATGCTCCTACGTGCACGTGCATACCTATGGACGTCTCCATGCCTCTGTCCATATGCGTGTCTTTGTGTCTGCACCTAGCTTACGTGTGCGTGTCCGTACAGACGCACACTGGTAACTGTACCTATCGGTGTGTCCGCCTGTGTGTCTGTACAGTCTCACATCAGTACGCGAACACATCCTGCGTCCCTGCGCCACACCACACACCAGTCGGTGTATGTGTTCCACACCGGCACAGGTATCCGTGCGCCCGCGCGTCCGTCCGTGTATGTGATTATCCGTGTGTCCGTCCGGGTGTCTGTCCTTGCAGCCGCGTATCCATACTCAGCGTTGCTCGGCCTTGGCCCGGCAGGGGGCGCCCAAGGCCCCCGCCGCCCCGCCCTCGGGGCCTCCATGTCCTTCAGGTCCTGCCCACTCGGGACTGAGCGCCCCGTGGATCGAAGCGGCCGCCGGCGAGGAGCGCCGGGCGGCGCGGGTGGGGCGGCCGCTCAGGGGCTGTAGCGGTGCTCGGGTAGCGCCGTCGGCGGCAGCGAGCAGGCGGTGCCGCGGGGCGGAGCGGGGCGGGGCTTTGACAGGACCCGTGCCGTCCCGCCGGTGCCGGTTCCCATCCCGTAGCCGCCGTCATGAGG